ACACACAACCATAACTATTAGGAAGTGGGTGTGGCCAATGCGTCGCAAAGGTCTGTGAATACATGCTCTAAACTGGCCACTACGTTTGCACGTACCATACATGTGTAGCACCTGTACTGTATGTTTACTCGTCATTAATCCTCGGCGCGCATGCGCAGCGAGGGTTACGGTACTTGGTCTGGTGTGTTTGTCTGTCTGTCAGCAGCTATCCTGGCACTACAAGCTACGAAGCAGCCTATTTTAGTCCTAGAAGACCTCGACCAGGTCCGCTCGCTCTGTGTATCTTGAAGGCACAACAAGTCACAACAAAGGGCGTGTATCGACTGCCGCATGCTATCTACTACTGTAGCTAGCCCGTGCCTGACTCTCCGCGAGCTACTAGCGGGAGAAACGCAACTGATAGCCCAGCCATCAATTAGCGGTATGGCGCATGCTACTTCGTGGTTTTCATTTCATATTTACAGGTAGACAGGCCTGAATTACACGATTATATTGAACCTCTGGACATTCCGGGAGTTGAGTTGGAAGAGGCTGAGGTAAGGCATAAAGATAATTTTGAGACTGTTGGTTTGCTCTTTTTATGCTCGTACTATCAGTGGCGTAAGGAATGTTACCATCCTTTTGGCAGGCTTGATCAGCAAAAATTGAAAGGGGAGTATCGCACATTTGCGTGTATGCGTGCGCACCTTGGCACAATTTTCAAGCTGCAACATGAGTATATAGCTACAGGATGAGCTAAAGCAGGTGCAAAATGAGCGCAGTAAAATAGCTCTGTGGGCAAGCAAACGCAAGTGTAGTAAGAGCTAAAGGACGCCAAACATCTGGGACCCTACTCACTGCACGAACCTTAATCACTTGCATATTTCAGGATCTCACTCTCTAGCTTTCCCAATAATATCTCTCTCCTCCCTCTCTCTTCCTAAGTATCTTCCTCTCTCTACTAAGTATCTCAAACCAATCAGGGCCAGTTGCAAACCTGCTGCTGCTACTTTTGCCCTAATGATTGATTTATTTGATCTTCTATTTTAGCGAAGCCAATTCTTCAAAAGAAGGGAAGATGTTGAAGTTGAAAGACGAAGCGGGGTTGGTGGTCTGTCGGTTGATGACAATTTTATGTATTATTCATTCACTGAAAATGGAGATAAAAAGTTTCTGCGCAAATGTGAATGCAATGGGAATTTTGGGTGCGATGTATCCATACCGAAATTTGGTCGTGGAATTGGAAAGGATAATTATGGTTTTCTATACGTTCTGTGTTCCAGTACCAATTCAAAAGTGTTTAAATTTGATGAAGAATTAAATCCAGTGCGAAAAACAAATAAGTACTGTGCAGAACATTTTGGTGAGGCATATGGAATTTTGGTGACCGATGAACATGTTTTTGTTTGCGCACGGGTTAGGCAAAAGGTATGCATCTTGGACTTGGACCTGAATCTTCAGTATTGCTTGAAATTAGATTTTAAACCCGCTATCTCCTTACCAGTACCAGTTCAAGCACTGATTTTTTCACTGAAGGTCTCCAATTTCGTCGGAGGTGTGCACGGACATCAAGCGATCGTTTCTTTCTTGCCGCTAGTCACTACGGTAGATCATGGAGCTCTTCCTTGGTCGACACTGAACAACGCCATTTGCTGCTTACTCAGCATCGGTGAGCCTCGCGCATGCGCGAGGCAGGGGCGTTGTCCAATGCGCTTGCGAGCGTATTACCAGGCGAGTTGGCAGACCTGCAGAGAAACTCTCAACCTCCAGTACCTTCTGTAAGTAAGTGTGCACATTTCCAACTGGCTAGCTTGCTGTTGATTTGCACGAAGAGCAACTTGCCAGAGTCTACGCTGTGTTACGCGAGCCTCGCGGGGCACTCAGTCAAACGGGCCTTCATTGTTTGTCCCCCCAGGTTGTAGCCTGATTACCAAAGCCTGCCCATGAAACCACAACCATGTGCAATAATCTAATTACATCCTTGTTGAAGACAATACATGAGGTGAATGCGGTATCTAGCCCCTGCTTCAGGCACCATTATAGCTACTACTTTCAACAGTTACAATTTGTCTATGGTAGCCTATCTACAACATACCCATGAACATCAGAGTGACTATAACAATAAATGTAGTGTTGTCATAAGCTGTTAAAAAAATAGTGGAAACAAGTGGAAAAATCATTTCTTCAAAATGAAAGGGGGATATAGGGATGGCTTGAAGCACCAAAAAGGAAGAAACAAGGGGTCATTACACAGCAAAGTTGCACAAAGCTACATGACACCATCCCTATATCTTTGTTTTATTGTTTATAAGCAAAGTTTAACCCTTTGGACACCATGGGTATCTCCTTAAATAAGCAGAAATTGATGTATAATATATTAACGCCTAGTATTATAGACATAATAATACATTCTTATGGACTTATGGAGGCTCTGGGCATATACATGCCCGTGGCTTGCTAAGGGTTAATATCGAACAAACCTTTTGCAAATTAATCGTGAATGCTTCGTCTTCAGTGCATGCACACACACACACACACACACACACACACACTCCCAGTGCATTCAACTCTTTCTGGTGAGCAAACACCCCCTCTCTTCCTCTTCTCCTGCCATCTCATACGCACCATCTTCAAACTGAAAAGGTTCATATTCAACATTCTCATCTTTCTTGGCTATAGCTGCCGCTCCTGCCAGTTTCGGTCCCAGCAGCTTGCCCTCGGCTATCAGCTTGGCTTTCTGAGCCTGAGGGAGAAAGGAGGGAGGGAAGGAGGGAGGGAGGGAGAGAGAAATGAAGGAGGGGGGAGGAGTGAGAGAGGGAGGGAGAAAGGAGGGAGGGAAGGAGGGAGGGAGGGAGAGAGAAATGAAGGAGGAGGGAGGAGTGAGAGAGGGAGGGAGGAGAGGGAAAAGCAGAAAGAAGGAAAGAAGAAAGTGAGAGAATAAACACAGAGTACCAGTGAAGAGTTGATACAACAGAAGGAGAACCATAATATTTCCTATGAGGAGGCAAAATTTGCTCCCCGTCCCATGAAAGAAATGGCTTCGACTAAATGACGTAGGTATTGTTGGAGGCTACTTTCCAACAGAAAAGAAAATATTACCATCTTTTTCTCTTCTTGTTCCTTGAATTTGGTCCTCATGGGGCTAAGTTTCTGCTGCAGTTCAGTGGTGCAGAATTCATACATGTCCAGCTTCATCGTGTACTTGACGTCCTGTGAGGAGAGAGAGAGAGATGAACACGACCATTAGCCAGTCAATTGTCACTCATCTGAATAGGAACACAATTGAAGGGGTCACAGTCAGAGTGAGCCAACCCTCCAATATACAACTCTTGCCGGTTTTTGTTCTATAAGGACATTTAGAACATATTTGAAGGAAAACCGGCAAGAGTTGTATATTGGAGGGTTGGCTCACTCTGACTCTGACCCCTTCAATTATTAATGATCATCTGAATAGGCACATAAAATGTCTATATTGCATTTGTTCAAATTCGCACGTTGCATCCTCTCGTGTCACTAGACAAAGGAATAATGTGTAAACCAACATATTGTGTACCTTCAGGATCTTCCTAGCAACCGGTTCCCCACTGTCGGGGACCTTGCCCACCGAGAACCGGACAAACTGGACTGTCAGGTATCCCGGGAGACGACTCAGCGGCGACGTCTTCTTGAAGTTCACGTCTCTTCCCAGAACTGCAGACTTCTTCTTCACCGTCCCCTCCATTCCCTGGGAGAGAGGGGCACTTTCCTGCTGTCCTTATTCTTATTCTATTTCACTCTTTTGAGGAACCTCCGATAAGGGACCCTCTGAGATAGGGGCGACCTCTCTACAAGGGACACTTGTTTCAACCCCATGCTAATACTTTAGTGTATTATTTGACCTACGGCCTCTCTACAAGGGACAAAATCTTTGCCGCCATAGTGTCCCTTGTTCAGAGGTTCCAATATACATCATTCCCATTACTAACCTTCCTCATAGCGGTGTACATGTACTTCACATCCTGAGCAATAAAACACGACACTTGGTAGCTAGTTTCAATCTCCGTGGTGACCGGTTCGTCTGGACACTCCTCGCATTTGTACGTCGACTTTGTCTCCACCCACACTACGACTAACAGCATAGCCTAGCCCCCAGCCCATCAATTTAGTGATACGCGCATGCGTAGTGCGTCGAGGGTGCACTTTAGTGCTTTTCATTTACCTTTGTTCCTGAGTCACTGGTAAAGTATCAATCTTACCTTGTAGCTCCTATAAAAAGCGTGTGCACTGGGAAAATAATCAGATTTGAGACTCTGCCAGAGTCACTGAAAGAGATGAGTGTTGCCACGCGCAAGGCTGGTCGCGTGCCACACATAAGAGACAGAGAGAAG